GTGCATGAAAACTATTCTTTTTCTCGTGCGCACAAACTCCACCCACGATCCCTCTAAACAGCTTTTTTTTTGCAGGCTCTGTGGGGCTGGGGGTTTTTGTTGTCTTTAGCGTATTCTTCTAACCCTGTCTCCCCTGGTATACTGTCGGCAATTTGTCAGGCCGATAAGCTGTCATTGGATGTGCAAGCTCTGGTGAACGTCAACACTCTCGTCTGTTTTCTTCCTGACGCGTTCCCAGCTTTGTGATTTTTCCCCCCATATTTTCAGTGTGCCCTGGCGTTGCTCCTAGGCAGTCGACGCGCTGGTGGTTTGTCGCAAGCTATATATGTATAACCCCGTGACATCAAACAAACTGATATTCACATGGAACGCTCTTTGTTCCTTGTTTCGTGTCTCAGGTTCTAGGAGAGCTTCATGCGGTTCGGCTTGGAATACGTTGGGCCGATTCTCTCCACCGAGAGTTTTGATCGTCAGGACGACGCTAAGCGCTACCTCAAGCCGTGCTTGTTAGCGGACGAGGGGGCAGGAGGTGGAGGAGGTGACCCAGGGGCGGATGAGGGCGGAGGGTAAACTTAAGATGGAGACGGGGATGTTCTTCGTCTCCGACCGAGAAAACCGATGGTACTGATGACCACGCTGGCTACAAAGCCTTGGCGGACACCTGAACCGTGTTGACAAGGTATGTCATGTGTCTTGTCTTTTGGAATAATCGTGCTGCCTCTCTTTCTGCCTCTTTCTCTCTGCCTGCGATGATGTTGGATGTTTGCGTGTTTCCTGTCGTGCATCCGTTATGCCCGCGGCTCCCTACAATGTACACCCTTCCTCATCCCAGCGTGTCCGTTGGCGACCCCTGATGTTTGAATGTACCTCGCCTCCCTTCAATTTTGTTCTGCGGGGGTGCGTAGCTCATCCTCGTCTCTGACGTATTCTACGACCTGCGGTAATGCTGTCGGTTTGTGCCCCCCGCCGCCCTCCATGCCTGCTTGCAAGTTTTTAGTTGACAATGTACATCTGTCAGCTATACCAAGACCTATGCTGCTGCCAAGAGGGAGAGCATGCCCTCCATTCCTCGACGGAAGACTATTACCCTCCTCTCACACTTCAATATTATTTCGCTGCTGATCGGTAACCCCAGGTCCAGTCGCCGGGACCTCCGCTGCAACATGCAAAATCGTTTAAAGCTTTTTCTCGGGTCCTCATGGCGTTCACAACGGGTCGAAGCTTTGACGGAGGAGGCGGAGAAATATCCCCCTGGCCATGTCTCACAGTATTTTTTTTTTCATATATATGGTGCTATGATATGGTTGTTGCTCTCGCTGGTGCATGAGGGTGCCTGGCGCGGGATGAGAGCCAGGTGTTTTCTTACTGTGTTGTGTGTGACAGGGCGTTTGGAATCTGTCGCTACTGCTTCTTGGCTTCGTCCGCGCTGTTTTTTGTCGGTGCGAATTGTGGCTTTTGGGGAAAGGGAGGGGAGGGGGGAGATGTTTCAATGGTGTTGGGAACGTACAGATGTCTATTTCTGCAGTCTCTGCATTGCTTTTGGAGGACACCGCTGTCGCAGCTGGCTCCGTCCCAGGCAGTTACGTTTTTTCTTGACTAGAGTCTGTTGTAGAATGTGGGACGGCCGGGGGGGGG